TTTTGAAATCTTTCCAGGAAGGAGGCAGCTTGTCAATAATAACAGCAACTTGAAATTGTTCATCAAGGGCCATACCTTCGGAAATTATCTCATGTGCTATTTTCTGAAGGTCGTGGGATTGCACTTCCACGGACTTATCATCAGTCATTTGAAACTTTAGGTACCTACTGACAGCATACTTTTTGGCACCTGCTTCTTCAGTATCATACTTCTTTTGTAGGGCATCCCACAAATCCTTAGCAGTGTTTTCCATATTATAATAGTCATAGAGGTTATCAGACAGACCATTAAGAATATAATTTTTGCACATGAAATCAGTTTCATTCCAGGTTTCGATTTCACTATTCAGATAAGGCAGTTCATCTTCAGGAGCATTATCAGGAATAAAAGGCCGAGGGGCTGTTAAAGCAGAATGAACTTTTTTGACAGTTAAGAAAAATTGCATTTTTTGTTTCCATCTTTTAAAGTGAGCTCCTTCAAAACGGAAGGGCTTGTTAAGGTCAGCAGACATAGTAATATCTTCGGTAGACATATAGTTCATACAGGCAGAAAATGAATGTTCTAAAATTGTTAAGACAGAACTGCGGGAACAAAAACAGTAAGAACAAAGTTACCGAAAATTAGACTGAGTCGCGGACTATGTCGCTCTCTTTAGAACATTCACGGCACTGCCCTGAAAATGTGCAAGCAGTTCGTACTAAACCGGATGTTCCCCAGGATAAAACAGCCTTTCTGTATTGTAATTATACCGGTGGAACTGCACAAAACCACCGGGCAACTAAACACCAAAAAGAAAAGAAACTGCTTTTTGTGAGGAAAAATAGAGAGGAGAAGAAGATTGCTTTCTGTTTTTTTTTTTGTATATTAAAAACAGGAAATCAACACGCCTTTTATAGGCAAAATTGCAACGTAACTGCTGCTGTTTAATTAGGCACTAATCACGCAATTAAAACGGTCATAAGTTGAACGTTCAAAACGGTTACAGAAGATTAATGCGTGGCAAAACGTTTAGCAAAAAATCAGTGAAAACGTTTGCATGATTAACGCTCCATTAATCAGTTTTGAAAAAACGGTCAAATGTAATCAGTCAAAAACGTTTAGCAAAAATCAAGGAACTAATCACGCAATTAGCCTTGTCCAAAAAATAAGTTTATTTAATAAACCCGACCCGACCCGACCCGACCCAACCCAACCCGGCCCGGCTCGGTTCGGTTCGGCGCGCGTGTGTGATAGATGGTTTACCATATAGGTCCTCCCTCTCCACAAAATGTGGGTAGCCCAAGGGCCACACCCCTTTAGCCCACTCTCTATATTATAAAGAGAGTAAAACTCTCATTTCCCACCAATGTGGGACTTTGAGTTTTTTCACAAAATTCACACACTACACACTTGTTGTTCCAACATGGCGGAGGGAGGAGAAAGAATGTGCCAGCGACGGTGGCTAACGACGTGGAGGGTTTCGTCTGATTTCCCATCGGCGGTGGTTGGCGTCGGTGATTTATGGGGATAGGGTGGGGAGTTTCATGGGGTAGGGGCTGTTGGGGTGATTTTAAAAAAAAAATTAAAAATAATTTATTTTATTATTATTATTTTTTTTAAATAAGAAAAAAAAAGGGGACAATTAACCAATTACAAAGGGACACGTGTTATATTAACCCATTAAACAGGTTACCAACCGATTTCGCCCCATTTTTGGATGATCGTGTGCAAAAGTCGTTTTATTGGAGGATTATCAAAAGGTGATTTAATTTATGGCGGATCGGACAAAGGTCATAATATTCATGTCAATTTTTCCTAAAATTAAATAGCCTTAAGATTACCTATCTTGCAACAGAATTTAATACAGGCAATTATTCAAATGCAGGAATATGTCTTTAGCCTTTGGAAATGCTTTGAATTTTGCTAGGCTAGTTTATTTATTACAACTATGGTGTATGCAACTATGCATGTAGTTGTTTTAAGCTCACCATCTTCAAGACTTTAATTTTTATTAGGAAAATTGCACTTTCGGTTGCGTGAGTTTTTACTTTCAAAGTGAAAGGATAATGTAAAATAAGATTAAACTAAAAAAAGAAAAAAGCTTAGGGTAAGCATATTTGCCATGAATTATTGAATTAATAAGTGACAATGTAATGGAAGTTTCATAGTGGGTATGAAAACCTTAGCTTGTACTAATACATACGACATTCCTAATGGTTTTAGAGTACCTTTAATACTTGTATTATAAGTATAAGTTCATGTCTTAGTATAAGTTTTAAAACTATTATTTAGGTATATTACTTCATCCGTTTTTTATGAGTTGGCACTGTTTGACTTTTATTTGTAAAATGTATCAGCGAAAGAAATCTGAAATATATTTTTAATGCATGGTCTGTTTAATTCACCTTATTTTTATATATTTTTTTAATTTAAATACACAGTAGTAAGAGTTGTCAATTCGGATAATCGGATCGGATTAGGTGAGGTTGGGTCGGGTTATGTCAATTTTTAAAGTTGAGTCATGTTAAATTATTGTGTCTACTCGAATCGAATTTGAATCAGATGTTATTCGAGTTGGTTTTGGGTCTGATTGGGTTGAGTGTGATTTGAACACCTCTAAATACTAGTCACATAATAAGTGTAAGAGAACAAGTCCGTAATCAGTGCGATTAAACGTGGTGTAGTTGATGCCTACAGTTAGTCAATCGGATGGCAATATATTTAATTATAGTAAAATCATGAAAAATCTGGAAGTAGAAACATTAAAAAGCAGGCAGATGGATAGATAGAAATAGGTATTTATTGCTGACGCCGCATCAGCTGAGACTACTGCGCAGGAGAAAGAAAACTGAGATTATGGATAAGGTTTATTTAGTACTGAATCCAGTGAGTCTAGTGAACGCCTCATCACGCCAATCCCTCTTTTCCTTTCCTCCCAATCATAACGCCTTTGCCTACTGTTCATCTACTTTTTTTAATTATTATTTTTTTTAAAAAAAATAAATAAATAAATAATGGAAATTTCTTGCACTAGAGGGTTCATTAAGGAATTAATTGTTACGGTTTAGTGACCTATTTTGATTAGTTTAATTATTTGCCTACATGATATATATTGTGACTAATAATATTTTGTTATTATAAGTATACACACACATATATATAGTTGACTTTTAAGATATACACATTGAAACGATTTTAACAATTACGGAGTATATGATTATATTTACTTTTATGTGTAAACTACAAATATTGATCAAAGTGATTTATATAAATAGAGTAAAAATTAAATCGGGGTTCTTAAAAAAATTGAGGAAATACTTTATAAAATGGCAAAAGCTAACGAAAACTCGGGGGCGTTGGATAAGATACTCCCTCCGTTTTTTTAAGTGCCCCATTGGAGATTTTGGCACTATTCAAAACATACTTAGACCAATGTTTGTGAATTATATATACATAGGTATTGTAGGTACTTGTTGGAATCATCTCAATGAGTAGATTATTAATATCCAATTGTTATAATTTATAGTTGATAATTAATTAAAGATATTATTGGTTAAAGTTTTGGATCGGCATGCGTGAAATGTAACTATGGGACACTTAAAAAAAACAAAGGGGGTAACTAAAAATAAAAGGAAAATGCTATACATAGCCCTAAGAGTTACATATAAGGAACTAAAAATGGAAAAAACAAAAAAAATGTAACATTAATTACACTGATTTGCGCGTGATTTTGACATGTATTTCTAAATTAATACCATAGTAGGAGAAAGATATTAAATGCTTATTCATAGCCCTAATGATTACATATAGTATTACCCAAAATAAAAATAATGAATCAAAATGAACATTAGTTACATCCATTAGCGCGTAATTTTGACATGCATTTCTAAAATAATACGAAATACTAATTTAAAAAATATTTTAAATGCTTATCTAACGCACTGAGAACGTTCGTTAGCAAGACACTTGTAAAATTAAACAAGATGTGTCAACAATATTTGAGCCTCCATATGTCTATATCTTCCTTCTCTATCCTCCATTTGTCTTGACCTTCTTGGAACTTGAAGGGTAAATGAGTATGTGCATCTTTATTGATTCTTTCACTTTAAAATGAGCTTAAGATATCCCGTTTATTGAGATCAATATCTATTTTCTTTGTCCTCCTTTGTTTGTTCTATTGAAAAGGGTTACTTTTTAAACTTTTTGATTGAGATAATATGATGAGAGAGAAAAGTAGCGGAGTAAATGTATTGGTCGAAAAAAAAAAGGTAAAAAAAAGGAAAATGTGAACCCCTACCACCAAAAGTAAAGAACTAGTGCGTATTGAGCAAATTCAAAGACATGAGTTAAAATGAAAATAGGGTAAATATTAAGAAACAGGGAGAGCACAATTGGTTGTGTAAAAAAAAAAATATATAGTTTAGATAAATTGAGCAATGTTTGATGTGTTCAACTATAGAAATAAAAGTATAAGAGTCATTCAATTTGAGTTTGATTTTGTTTAATTCAATTCAAGACATTTGAGTTACAAGTCAATTAGCGTAAATTCAATATTGTTTAAACTAATACAACCAGTAAATTCGTATTCAAACCCACATTATTCATACTCTATTCGTCTCACTTTACTTGGATAAGTTCCTCAATCATCTCAATTATACACATCTAAGGAAGGATTTATTCTCAATATATAAAAAATTAAAAAATGAAGATTACAATAATACTATCTTTGTTTTTTTAAGTTGTCATGTTTTAAGACTTTAACACTATTCACACACTCCCCTTTGACCGCATTTTGTGTTTTATACGTAATGAAAAAATTAGTTATGTGAGATCTTGTTAAATTCATGACGATATATATTTTCAAAATATCAAATTTTTATAATTTTTGCTTATCATTAATTAAATATATGAATAGTTGAAATTCTACATTGTCAAATGTGACTAAAAAAACGTGTCAACTAAAAAAAACGGAGGAAGTAATAAATAATGGTGATGGATAGGGACACCCTAAAATAAGCAAATAACAGTCAATAATAATCTCACTTAGCTCTAAATTTATAATTTCCAGAGCTAGCTATGAAGTTGAGCTGAGATGAGACCACTCTCACTTCTCTTTAATTTATTTTGCACATTTTCTCTGTCCTCTGCTACTGCACTCTTACTCTTTTGAGCTGGCCATAATTTAAATTAAACTACAGTATTATTTTCAGGTAAAAATTGTACTAGAAACTGAGATTCTCTTCTTAAATCCCATCAATTTTTTTGCTTTTTTTGGGTTTCATTGGATCTAATTTAACCTCCCTTCTTTAAATTTAATTATTTTAGTGTTAAAATTTTAAAATTAAATCAAATAATTTGGTTAAAGTTTTTGTCTTTTTGCTCTGACTGTTGCTCTGAAAACTCTATCTTCTTCTTTGCAGGAATCAGGATTGATCAGGCAGCTTCTACTTCTCTTGGAATCCGTGGATTTTTTGGACCTATTCATTTACTTGAATGCCACGTATATCATCCTCGGAATTTCACATTTTTCTAATTAAAGTGGTGAGTTTCAGATCTTATAAGAGGTTTTTTTTTTTTTTTTTCTTTCTTTTCCTTCTTTAAGCCTTAGATAAACTCCTGAATTTGGAGCTGTGTTCGAGTATAAATCAGTTATATATTTTAATTGTACATTTTTTTTTTAATAACGTGTGTATTCGATACTCATACTAATTAGACGTCATTTATTAAAAATAAAAAGACATTATATAAACAAACTCGTAAATTTCTTTGATAACCTGTGTATTCAATACTTATACTAAATACACACCATGTAAACAAATATTCGTGAATTGTCTTTGATAACGTATATATTCGATACTCATACTAAATACACACCATGTAAACAAATACTCGTGAATTTCTTTGATTACATAGCGTCTAATTTGTCATAGATATAAATATAACCCTTGAACCACATATTTTCTTTATTCTTAATTGAAATATGGGAGTCATAAGTAAATTATAGATGATGTATTAAAAATTCAACATTAAAGTCAAAACGTGTTAACTTATGGCCTGTTCTGTTTAGCTTAATTTCAGTTTAGTTCAATTCAACTCCAATCAGTTCAGTTCAGGTTCAATCAGTTCATTTTAGTTCTTTTGCTAATTTATTTGTTTTATATGATTTAGCTAATGATATTGTAGTGACAATTTAGTTTAGGCATGCCTTTGGGCCGATCTTTTTAAGTTCATCTTTATGTCTAATGATATTGCTAATGATAATTAAAGCCAAATTTCATACTTTTTAGTATATATTACAACAACAACGACAATAATAATAATAATAATAATAATAATAATAATAATAATAATAATAATAATAATAATAATAATAATAATAATAATAATAATGGAAGTGCGTAGTTTTGGGTCTTTGTTTCCTTTTTTTTTATTTTTTATTTTTGGATATTTTCTTCGTTTTTTTTGGTTTGTTTTTGTTTCATATTTTTAAACAGCCAAACTATTACAGTAGATTAATTTCACAGGCATTAATTAACATGAAAAAAAAAACTATTAATGGATTGATTTTGAACTTCATTTTATTTTTCATAATTATTAGTGGATTAATATCATTACTAATCCATAGTAAAAAAATCATTAATCCACAGTCAAATATTTCAGTTCAGTTCAACCACAATCAATTCAGTTCAGTTTCAATCAGTTCACTTCACTTCAGCTGTTTTCAGTAAATTGAAACAGAGCCTTAAACTATAAAAAATGTGTACACCGTAGTCCATATTACTTACGAAACTTAAAAAGAAAATACAGGTAAATAAATTACTGAACAACTAATTTTCAGATATATTATGACTTAACATTAATATACTGTTGTTTTAATGGGGGGAAAAATCTTCTTTAACAGTTACCTAAATACCTAGGTAGCCCAATTTCATTGTTCCTCTTTTTGGAAGTTCACTTTGCATTAACTTCCCTAGGTTTTTGTTTGGAAGCATTTGCCAGCTAAAAGCCAACGGAAGATTCCTGGTTTTATTCCCTTTCACCAAAACAACCAATTATGACTACCTAGATTTCAATCAATTTAGCTCATATAGTTAATGTGATTTATGGAGTTACTTAATTTTGTAACAAACCCATTTCATTTTTTCTTGCATCAACCAAAAATGACCACCAAAAAAAAAATTGTAAATATATTATGTATATTTTAAAAAAAAAAAAAAAAAATCAAATATGATGGATATCATGATAATATGTTATATGTGGTCTTGGTTAGGGTTGTGCACCGGTCTAAAACTGGACCGGACTGGGACCAGAATGGACCGAAATCTGAAATCGCCTGTTTTGCTGACAAGGGATCGGATCGTAATCAACCGGTTAGGGTTCCGGTGTTTATTCCGGTCCGGTCCAGTTTTAGACTGGAATGGACCGGTTATATTCTTTTCTTTTCTTTTCTTTTTGCATTTTCATATCTTTATATATACATCATTTTTTAACGTCTTGTTTTTGTTTGCGTGCTTTCCTATTTTGCACCTAAAATTTATAAATTACAAGTTTTGTACCTAAATTTTTTAGAAATTTAAAATTTTCACCCAAAGATAAAAACAAATGCATTTTCTGGTCCATTCTGGTCCGGACCGAAAAACCGGAATCCAACGGTCTGGTCCGGTTCAATTCCGGTCCGATCTCGGTCCTTTTTAGCACACCCCTAGTCTTGGTCACTCACTTATAATATGTTACATTGCTAAATAAGAAAAAAAATATAACTTACATCATCACTCGCTAATTTGTAACTAATAGTACATATTTATGAATAATGTGATCATCTAACAAACCTAAAGTATTCCCCTTAAAGATATGTGACCGCTTTATAAGAGTAAGAGTTCACTAAAATCTTCAAATTAAGTTATTTTAAAATTAAATTAATCGGTATTTTCGTATATACCTCCGTAGTGTTTATAATATGCAATAAAGTGAACAACTTGTTTATTATACGAAGTATACAATAAAGTGAGTGAGTTCCCACCCATTTTATCTTTAATAAACCCACTTTATAAATCATCACAAGAAAAATACTTGCAACATAGAAGTTGTACTTGTAAGTTGTAACCCTTAACCCAAAAAAAAAAAAAAAAAAAAAAAAAAGAAAAGTCATTTTCTTTCCTATAAAGAGAGTGTATGAACTCTCATTTCTCATTAAACTTTACTTTCTGTTGCTCCTTTTTCAGTTTTTCCTCACACCCATTTCACCATTTATAATAAATTCCTTCAAATTTATTTAATTTAAATAATTTATGTTTATATTTCCACAGATTTAAATTCCCAAAAAAAAAAAAAAAAAAAAAAATTGGTCATGGCAGGAAGAAATGGCAGAAAATTTGCTAAAGATGAAGACTTTGAAGAAGGAGAAGTATGGAATGTTCTAGAAAGCAGAGAAAATTCAAGTCCAAAACTCAGAAAATCATTGAAAAATTCATCTTCTGCTACAAAAAAATTTACTGCTACTGCAAGAATGATACCCAAATCATCATCATCATCATCATGTGAGAAGATGTCATCAGCACCATTGGAGATTCCTGATTGGTCAAAAATTTATGGTGTGACATCAAAAAAGAAGAAGAATGGTGGTTCTGCATCATCATGGGTTGATTATAATGCTGTTAATCATCAAGGGTATTATGGTAATTGTCATGGTAATGATTATGGTCATGGTTATGGTTATGATGATGGTCCTGATGTGAATGATGATGGTGATGGGTATGTGTATGGTAATGATGGTAATGATGATGGTGATGATGATGATGATGACATGGTTCCACCACATGAGTATTTAGCAAAGAAGTTAGCAAGAAGTCAGATTTCATCTTTCTCTGTTTATGAAGGAATTGGAAGGACTCTTAAAGGAAGAGACCTTAGTAAAGTAAGAAATGCTATTTTAACTAAAACTGGTTTTTTAGAGTGAAAATTTTCATGGGTTAGTAGTTTTTTTATTTTAATTTTTATGGGTTAGTTTTTTAAAATTTTATTATTTATTATTATGTGCTGTGTGCATGGATTATCATGCAATGACATCAAGGAATCATAGGTTAAAAAAAGAGAGATTAAATTAGGATATAATTAAGAATTAATTGGTGCATTATCCAAGGAAGACATCATCAATTTTGTATAATTGGGGATAATGAAACAACATCAGCATGGGTTCATCATGAACAATATATGGATGTCATCTATTTGTTACATAAGGGGTCCCATGTAAGTTGTTTTCAATTTTTTAGTCCTTAAGTATGGTTGATTAGCTTGATTAAGTATGGTTAATTAGTTTTTTGTTTTCTTAGTTGGTGAGTTTTATCAGAGGAACTGCCTAATTTTGTGAAATTGTGTTTGGCAGTCCTCTGAAATTTTGTTAGGAGGAAGTTCAATGTTTAATTATATAATATGAGAGATTTTAATGTGACTAGTTTAATTTGTTGTTTCTAATCTTTTCTATGTTCTTGTTTTATGTATCTTTTGCTCTAGCCTATATCGTTGTTGTCCCACTTCAGTGTTGATTTAAGGCCTTTAAGCCTTTAGGGACATACAGGTGCATTTTACATTTTTCGAACTTCTCATGAATGAAACACTTGGCAATAGACTAATGACCAAATGACGTACTACATCCGTTATACTTCATAAATACTTATAATACCCAACAGTTGTTCATAATAGATTATATGATTTCATTTGATCAGATTTAGTTCAAATTAAATGAGTTGTATCAAATTGTATTTGAGGTGCACGCATAAAAGTTTGCTATTAAATAATTAAGTTATAATAAGTTTGATTAAATATTCATTGTATAATCATCTATTCACATACATTTTCGAGTCAAATTGGTTCATGTCAATATCGATTCTAGTCTGGATCATGATATCTACTAGTAAATGTCATACTTTAGTTTGCTTTAGCTAAAAATAGTTTCTAACGACCCTTGGCTAAGATAAACCATTTAAGGTATCTTGAATTAATGATGCTAGCCCGATTTGGATAACCCACCATTTCTTTCAATTAATTATGAATTTAGGAGTATAGAATTCAGGATATCGAGTTTAATGGGTGACAGATGTTTTCATTCCACTCAAAAAGAGAATTTCGATTCAAATTCAAAATTAGATGAAAAGCTATTGGATGTTGGTTCTCAAAGCAGGAAGCAATTGTAGGGTTTTGGTTAACGTGATAAAGCCTTGAAGTTTTCTTTTGATATTTGTTGGACTGTAGTACAAAAATAGTAACATAGTCCATATCATGCATGATCCATACCATGCATGATGCACATTCTAAAGTTAAAAGAAGAACCAACACCGGGATAATCTATGTGTAGTTCGTGTCGACAAGAACAATGACGGAAGATTAGGGTTCAACTCTATATCTAAGAATATATACTCTGTATATGTGAAAATTATATGTACTAAAGGAATCTTTGAACAAATAAAGTATATTTCATACATAAAGAAAAATATCGCCTAAACTATTCTCCCTCTTCTTATCTTGTCCAAATTGAACATGTGCAAAATGTGTATAGGCACAAACAAACATCTTAATCAACAAATTGAGAATTTGATTTTCTTTCACTAATTGAATTCAAACTTTTTTAATCGTATATTTTCACAATTTACGATCTCATAAACTATTACAGAATAATTCTATAAGTTTTAAGCTATGAAAGTTCCTAATAAGAGCATTAATTACTTTCTTTCTTCATTTCAAAATAATTTGAATGTACTCATGCTAATGCATGAGATATATGTATTAAACATAGAATATATGGTAATAATGTTATACTTCGTATGTAATATGTTAGTCGTATAATCTATCCCATCAAAGATGCTATATGGTGATATGCTACACGCCTACACTGTAACAACTCTAACAAGTAATAAGCCTAGGATGTATGGTAATATGCTACTCGTATAAAAGATTATCTGAAACGTATCTAAAGGTGTATTCTATAATTTAAACCAAATCAAAATTGCAAAATTTGCAAGCGTATTATGGATTTATGGGTTAAACCCAAAATTGGAAACGACTATTGGATCATTTAGCATAGCTCATCTATACACGAGGCCTTTTTTATCACTTTTGAAACCCAAAGCGTGAAAGTGCCTATACAATGGATCAGAAATTCAGCATCTTATCAAGAGCATGCAACTCTACACAAGCGAGCGCCGTGGCCTTATGGCTGGTAACCGCATATTATCGTACTCGCAAGTATCGAGAATAAATATAATATAGCCATGTGCGTCTTGATTTTATATTTGTAAATTTGCCACCTTTTTTATAATTTTAAATTTTATGAATTGATGATATCCAATGATAAATATTAAATTTAAAATGTTGCAATAAGAAAAAAAATTAAAAAAATAGATAAAGTCTATGAAAGGTGAGGCACGACATGGATTAGATAATTTTGGGCACAAAATGGGCCTCACGATGCCCATTGAGACCTCTCAGGAAACAACTCGATGTCTAACTTGAAAAATGTTCATATGTTAACTTTGAAGGCTATAAAACGTGAAATCAACCATATTTGGAGATTTCAAAATTTGGTGTCGAAAACTCAACTTATGTTAGGAGATGCATTTTGGGGTCATATAATGTTGTTCGAAATCATATACAACCCCCTAGTCGGTCTCATAAAGTCCCATGGTGACATTGAATTATTAAAAAAAAGCGTGTATGTAACTGACTAAATTGATAATTAAGAGGCATAATGAATGGTTTCAATGACCCAAATGGTCTCACGGGATCTCGTGGGATACATAAGAAACACATTATCATCTTTCCTTTTCACGCTTGAAAAAATCTAAAATTGTCCAAAATTAAATGTTATAACCTACGTATTTGGACTGTTAAAAACACTCATAATTTAGTCACAATAAGTTTAAGCTAGATAAGTTGAGGAGAACAAATCATGAGAATATTAAAATTAATTTAAAATCTCGGAAGCTCATGTAAAGAATGTTGGAAAAAAACAACTTTCAAACCAGAAAACTAGCTTAAGGGGCATTTAATTCACGTAATGACATGACTTTGAAATCAAGAATAAAGCTAAAGTGGTATGAGATTGGAACTTTATTATTAATACATTGTATTTGATTGTTATTTGCGAATGAAACCCACTTATTAGAAACAATAAGAAATCACACTTAATTTGAGAACTCTAGTCAACCAAACCGGACAAACTAAAGTTAAGTACTTAGGTATAGATCTCGAAACCTTACGAACTTGGTTCCATAAAATTCTCCAAACTCACAAAATTAGTTCAATACACCAAACCCAACCCAACCCAACTGACCAACCAATTTGGTATTTGAAGGATATGTAAGTCATAATACTGTTAAGACGTCATGTGGTTGGTGTTGTTGGTAGGGTATCCATTAATTCTTGATTTTGGATCTTAATCTCCCAATAATTGTGTTGTTGGGAAAAACAATGAAAATCCACAAGTAGAAAATACAAGTGTTAATTAAATACTCAAATATAACTCGTTTTGTTATAATACTGTAATATTATCTCGTATGAATTAGAGAGAGAAATTTTAGAAAAACACCACCAGACCAGATCATCAATTTGGTTGAGAACCAGTTTTGACTTCAGAAATACCAAATTATTTGCAGTGTCATAGTTTCACTAAAGTAAAGTTGCAATCTTTTTTCTTTGTTCTTTGTAAATGAGCTTAGTGAGAGAAAACCCAGAACAAAAATGTCGGTGAAAAATAGAGCTGGATTTGGTGGTAATGAATCATCTTCAAGGAATTTTTTACCAAGGAATTTTGTAATCTTGCTATGTATTGGTAGCTTTTGTGCTGGAATGTTCTTCACAGAAAGGTAACTTCTAATTTTTGTTCCTATATTTGTGATTATTTTTTCTGAGTTTAATTTATTGTGCATTTAATTAAAGTTTTAAATTTTATGATAAGCTTAATCTGGGAAAGGGTATTGAGATTTGATTTAAAATGGGGTTTTAAGTGATCAAGAATATAGGGGTTGCTTAATTTTTATTAGTCGATGAGTTGGAAATTTGGAATATTATGTGGAAATGTGTTGTGGATTGAGCAGAGATCATTGCAGTAGAAATTGTAATAATGTTGCTAATTGTGTGTGTTATTTTGAAGCAGAAGAGTTTCTGATCTAGTAGTAGGTAGATAACACTTTCTTAGTTAAAAAGTAGGATTTTGGGGAATATTGCAATTTGCGGGGAACCAAAAACCTAGGATCAATTAATGCTCCCTCTATCTTCAAACTGATGATTATTGAGCAATGATTAGAGAGAGTGTCAATGCCCCATTCCATGGAGGGAGATCATTGGCAAACCGGTCAAGGAGGTGTGCAAGTGAAATTTATCACCCTTTGCAAAGCTGAAGGAGTAGTTAAATTATGTCTACTGCTGCAGCACCCTGGAGGATTGCCAATTGAGATAGGTTTGCTATGGCTATTGACTCATTGGTGGATACCATGGGTTCTCCGAGGTTGTGTAAGGAGGCGCTATGGTGATTTCTTGCTTGAGAGTGGTTTGCTTGTTGGGTGGCTGAACTTGTAGGCGATGGAGATTGTATGATAAATGTGAATTAAGGCTGAGATGCCTTTTCTTTATGATCTCTTTCTCAATTGCTGTGTGCACAGGTTTAACAGTACTATCCTAATGTGATATCACTGGTACTATAATCTGGAAAGTTGAATCAACTAGAAGTGCATGAGGAAAACCTGCTTAAGAAAATCCTGTTCTAATGCTGCAGTTACTAGTTTATTGTTGACTTATTATTATGATAACTATTGGATTGGTCTGCTGTGATGTCAGCCCTTAAGGCAGTATAGGTGCCAACTTGCATCGCATATGCGTTACTTTAAATTTTTCTTGGGATGCTTCATGCATGGAGTATCTCAGCAGTCTTCAAACTTCATGTTGAATCTGTGTTTAAACTTTGAATATCTGGGCATTATTGGAAGTCAAGTTTCTGTTGAGAAGCGGTTGCAATGGCCTGAATATGTTTGCCGGTTCTGAAAGCTATAATATACAAATTAAGACCATTTCCGGAGATTTTGGGATATGGTGTCGAGAAAAATCAAGTGATGGTAAGGATGTTTCCTGGGGTCATATAATGTTGTTTGGAACCATATACAATAACATGAAAGGTCCTTGGTGTCCGTGAGTTAATGCAGAGAGATGTGTATGCAACTGGCTAATTGATAGTTAAGAGGCAACGTGGATGATTTCAACCACCCAAATGGCCTCTTGGGGTCTCGTGGGATATATGGGAAGCACCTCGTTCTCTTGTATTTTCCGGATCCGGGAAAGCTGAAAATTGTCCAAAATTGAAGGCTATAATCTACGCTTTCAGAGTTAGGTCAATTGACCAGATTGGTAAATAAAAAAGACCCCTAGCGACAATTTGGTAAAAAAAGCTAATCATATGCGACAATATGGTAAAAATAATAAACTCCGGCGACATTTAGACCAAAAAATCTATTTTTTTCCGACAAACTCTTTAAAAATCCTAACTTAATTTGTTTTTGTGTTTTTATATTTATTTTTCCCATTTAAAATTTCGAATTAATATGTCATCCCTTTTTATTTCCAACCCCCTTTAAAATTTTTTTTGTTAATAAGGGGTATGAAACTTAGTGAAAATTGATACTTAACATTTTTTTTCTTCAAATTATAATTTCCATAAAAAGGGTTGGTAAAAAAACAAAAAAAACAAACTAAATTAAGCATTCGCGAGTAATTTATCGGAAATTGTTGTATTTTTTGGGTTAATTGTGGCCTGAGATTATTTTATTTATCAATTTGTCGCTTTAGGTTAGCTTTTTTTACCAAATTGTCGCCAGAGTTAAGGTTTTTTACCAAATTGTCGCTAAGGGTCTTTTTTCATTTACCAATCTGGTCAATTGGTCAGAGTTTCAGACCAATTTTTGGATTTTTTTTCCAAAATTGAAGTGGATGTGGGGTTGTCCGCTATAGTCATAATATGTTTGGAACCACAGAAAGCCTACCAATAGGTCTATATAGCCCCGAGAATGATAAATATCTCACTCTATTTTTTATATCTCCATAATAATAAATGATAAATTCTTATTGGCAACCTTGTGTTGGCTGAGTATATAGGGTAACCACTAACCAGGGAAACAGGCTATGCTTTCTAATGATCTGTATTTATTCTTATTCTACAAATTCACATTAATGATTGATTTTGGTTATTTTTTCTGCTAAGTATGCTTGTGTAAGATCATCTAAGGTCGATTGATTTTATTATAGCACAAGATTACATATTGAACAACACAAAATCATACGAGTATTGAAAATTCATGTTATTACATGAAATCTCAACCCATATGGCTCTATATCAATGTTCTTTAAACGATTTTGTGTTTTCATTTGTGCAATATTGTGCCTGAATATATAATTAACCCTTACTTTACCTTAATAGAGTATTCAATAGAAAAATTAACCAAAAATTTATCATCATTGTCATGGTGTAGAATATGCATTAATACAGGGTCCTTTAAAAAAAAAACATATATTTTTTTTTCCTTCGTGACTGTATAATCAACCAAAATACAGGGCTACAATGACAATTTAACTAAAATTTTGTTGCTTTGTATCTGAGTTTAACATTGAGCATCACATTCTCATGTTTCAAGTGCCCACAACCACAAGCATCATTCTCTGGAGTAAAAACACAGGCAAAAGTTTGATTAGATTCCAAATCGTTTCTATCTTTCTTGATGCATGTCAATTACTATGATTCCAACTGTCCTTTCACTGTTAAAGCTCTCATCATTTTGGTACCGTCACTAATCTACTCACTCATAGGCTGCTTGGATTTGTAAAAGCAAAAGGGTGAACCTTTTCAGCTAGCACATCATTTTTGTTGGTCAATAGTCCAAGCAAGTTCCTTCATTGTTAGTACTTGTAGTTATACTAGTTCTAAGAGTGATTACACTAGTACAATGCTTTGGTGAATGATACCAAGAGACTCATGTAAAATGGGTTTGTTAAATGCACACTGCCTTAACCTACAATTGTGAAAGAGGTTTGTGATAAACCTACATGTGATTTTAGTTGAATGGTTATGCCTGATTTAAGGGCTAAGGAATATTTAGTTTCATGTGGTTGAAGCATATGCATCTATTATTATATAATTATGAGTATAAAAATAAAATTCAACAATTAGCTCAATAGTTGCCTTTACAGTTTCTGGCATTGAACTTTTAGTAGTTTCTTGTACATTTTTGTAGAGCTGTTGTGGTGAATTTAACTATTCTTGTGATGTATGTTCCCTAACAACATCATTCATGTCCCAGGATGTGGATGATGCCTGATGAAAAAGATACTGTGAATACAAGGAGCAGAGGTGAAGGCATACGGACAATACAAGAGCAGAAACAGGTGTCTATCCTCTTAGGATACTATCTTCCAGCCCCAATTCAAATATATGGATGAAATTTGATTTTGAAATCTTCATGCTGATAGATCTCACCTATTCTTCTAGCACTGCCACTAGAAAACTAGACCTTTTCCCTGTTCCACTGACTAATTCACAGAGCTTTGGCTATCCTGTTTTGCAGAAAAGTTCAGTCATACCTTGGCTCTTGTAAACTATTGAGCTCTTTCATGTGTGGCTTAGACTTGAACTGATTTATTTAGTAATAGTTCAGCTTATTTTAATTATCAGTTCAATGATGACTTGCCTTTGATGTTATATAAAGCGCATATCTCTAAAGCATTATCCAGATATGCTGTGAAGGTGTTTGAATTCATATGCAATCACCTTAGCTGCACAATATCTAAACAAACACTTAATATATTAGTATGGCATCATAAACTATTCTCCTTATTAAACTATGAATGACTCATGCTCATATTCTATGTTACATGGACTCGGAAACGGGTGTCGGATATAGACACACGTCCAAGTGTCCGATCCGGGGACACGTCAATACGTCACTTAAATTTATATAAATAAATTATATATTATAAAAGCTTTAAATTTTTCATTACGTCCACTCCTAATTTTTATAATCTTAAAATTCTTTCCTCAGTAAATTATCCTAATAAATGGCAATCTTCTTCCCTTTATTAATGGTGGTCTTCGAACAAGATGTGTTTTTCTTTCATGATTCTCTTCTTTTTTCCTCTCCACTCTTAATGGAAGTGTTCGAGTGCATAGTGAAGGGTCGGACACGTGTCCCGTGTCCGTGTCATGTCGTGTCGTGTCAACACGGACACTTCATGATTTTAGCAGTGTCCGATTAACATAGCTCATATTACAATTTTCACTTGTCTAGTTTCAAGTAATACTTGCCTCTTTATTCCAAGCTTATCCTTCTTAATATGTAAATTACCATCACATCTAACCCTACATTTCCCATCACAATATGAAGGTTTTTCGGCATGAATCTAATCATGTCCCTAGGGAATCCTTGGTGAAAGGCAACAGCATACAGTAAGCTCTCTAATGCTTGAATAATGTTTTCACTTATGCACCTTTAGTTTTGCTCATAACTCGCGTGTAATGAGCTGGATGACTTATTCTGATACAGTTCATTGGATAAAACAATTTCAAAACTTGAGGAAGAATTAGCTGCTGCAAGAGCAGCACAGGAGTCAATAATGAACGGATCTCCTGTAACAGAGAGCTTGAGGATTGCTGACTTAACTTCTAAACGAAAATATTTGATGGTCATAGGAATTAACACTGCTTTTAATAGCCGGAAACGAAGAGATTCAGTTCGTGCAACTTGGATGCCACAAGGTGCGTACAATAAACTTGTGGTTGGGCATTCATTTTGTAATATTTCTTCTTTTCTTCTATAAGCATGGTTTCCAATGTTGATATGTGGATCTTTTTTGTAATATAAAGGTGACAAAAGAAAGAAGTTAGAAGAAGAAAAGGGCATTGTTATACGATTTGTTATTGGCCACAGGTAAAAATCTGTTAGGTTATGCAGTTTAAAGAATAAATGTTATGCTGTACCTTCATATTTTTTCTTCACTTCCCCCACCATGGACTTTTATTCCCAAGAAGGTTGATCAATGTACAAGAAGTGGTTAGCCGTTGGCTTTGTTTGTAAATGCGTACAGATTTTAGCACTTGCAGGAACACCAGCTGGTGGTGAAGTGTTTTTTTAACTAGTCTCAGGGTGGAGCCGAAAATATATCTTTGAAATGGCCATATTTTGACGCCATTAGACACCCCCCAATCCACTTCAATTTTGGAATTATTTTGTCTAAAAGCATGGATTATAGTCTTCAGTTTGGAGAATTTTCAACTTTTCCGCGTCTGGAAAGGAAAGAAGATGAGGTGCTTCCCATTGACCCCACAAGACCCTGGGAGACCACTTGGGTGGTTGGAACCATACGCTTTGCCTCTTACTGTCAATTTAACGGGTTACAAACACGCTATCCTTCATTGACTCAAGGTCACCTCAGGCCTTTATAATGTTATGTTTTCGTAATCTGATGCTAACCTTGGCTGGTTTTTCCTTCTGTTTTTCTCAAAAGATTAATCTATGAGAGATTCTTTTGTATAAGAACAATTGTACAAAAAATGTAACTGTGTGAAACATCTTTTGTCATCAGTTCAACATCTGGTGGCATTCTTGATAAGGCAATCGAAGCAGAGGATAACAAACATGGAGACTTTTTGAGATTGGTGAGCTCTGTTTCCTTTTTAATCTTAACTGTGATACATGAAACAACTATTATCTTTCATCTTTTAAAATGTACATTCGTACTATAAGCAGGAACATGTAGAGGGCTATTTGGAACTCTCAGCCAAGACAAGGACATACTTTTCCACCGCTGTTGGCCTGTGGGATGCTGACTTTTATGTAAAAGTAGATGACGATGTTCATGTTAATCTAGGTAAAGAGTTTCTCAATTACTTTCATTCTTTAAATCCCTTCCATAGGCTTTTTCAAGTGCCCACATTTTGAAGCCAATTTTTTTTACTAGTATTTAAAATCAACGCATGATGTAGCATCTAGCATGATGTGCTACTGCTAAGGGTTTTGCAACCATTTATAAATTTTAACTCTTTTTGTCTGGCTCTCATAGTAGTTTGTGCAGTTGAAGATGTTCATGAATAGAATAAATTTTATACAGGAACATAATAGAAGTTTCAGGCATTCTTGTCCAAGCATTCCCTATAAATTTTTTTACACAAAGAATTAATATACTTTGTGTAGTACTGACTGAAAGACCCAATGGCCTCTTCTTTAGTGTATTCTGAAAAGTAAATAAAGTGGAGTTCAAGGTAGCCTTTTATCTCTAGCTAAACATTTTGTGGCCATAACGATTAATTGTTTAGAGTTACAATGTTCAAACACAAGGATACTTTGTCGGCTGAAGGCAGCTACTGTAGTCTAAACAAATTTTGATGATGGACGTCTGTATATGGATTATTCTTACTGGGAAGATGTGAGAAAATTGTGCTTTGAATCTTAGTTTTTTATCGCTTCATGGTCACCATTTTTTTATACTTTGTAATGTATAGCTATATTCGATTGTTTTAGCTAGGTAGTAGAATTCATCTCATCCTCTTGACCTCTCAAAGGAAAGTCTTTTTAAATACAAGCATATTCTTATTTTCAATAAAGCAAGACAGTTTGTTCTCTATGATAATTTATCTGATAATTAAGTTCTCATAGCAACAGGTTCATGCGTCTATACTTTGAGGTTGTGTTTTTACCTAGATTTTGTTGATGCAGGCACATTAGGGAAGATTTTATCCAGCCATCGCTTGAAGCCTAGAGTATATGTAGGTTGCATGAAGTCTGGTCCAATCCTTGCTAAAAAGTAATTTGAGTTTTCCGTCATTTTTGATCTACTATAAGGGACCATTTATTTATAGCTCCTAATGGCTGCTTATCATGAACAGGGGAGTGAGATATCAAGAACCAGAGCATTGGAAATTTGGTGGAGAGGGAAACAAGTATTTCCGACATGCTACAGGACAGCTATATGCTATTTCAAATGACTTGGCAACCTATATAGCCATCAACAAGTAAATCCACAACTTTTAGCATCTTTGTGAGTCGTCATTTTATATTTTGAATGATTTGGCTACCCGCCAAGTCCACAACTGCTAGCTATATGATATGCTAACTCTAATGTGTTTGGACCATAATTACTTGAAAGAATGGACACCTCAACAGAACAATGTTTCTTTTCCTAATTAGTAATGTGATTTGTTTTGGTGATGTTTATGATTTGCCAGACATCTGCTGCACAAATATGCGAATGAAGATGTTTCTTTAGGATCATGGCTTATTGGTCTGGATGTAACACATGTTGATGACAAGAATCTATGTTGTGGTACTCCCCCAGGTAGGATTCTTTCCATAATTTTATTATTTTGTCCTTATTGTATCACTACAGATTGTGAATGTAATCTTGGTCTCCTCCTGATAGATAAAGAAGATAACAACCTCACTTTATTATTTTGTCCTTATTGTATCACTACAGATTGTGAATGGAAAGCTCAGGCAGGAAATGTTTGTGGTGCTTCATTCGACTGGATCTGCAGTGGCATTTGCCGTTCTGATGAAAGGATTCACGAAGTTCACCAGCGTTGTGGGGAAAGTGAGGATGAACTATGGAAAGCCACTTTTTGAAAATCTCAGGCACAAGCTCTTTAGAATATAGCAGTGGTATCATACTTTTCTACTTTGCCTATGTATATGAAACACATATAGAGCAATTTTGTGTAAACACGTCCTGCATGTGAGATAAAAATACTAGTGGTTGGGTTAAAGGAAAACTTATATTGGTGGTGCTCCATTTTGAATGAGTGAGGAAGCGACAAGCAGCATTTTGGGGAGGCAATAAGGACTTTCTAAGCTATTGTTCAACTGGTTAGAGAACCAATATTGAGAGTTTCTCTACCATGAATTGCCCTTTTGTTTTCGTTCAGCTCGGATCAGTTAGCATGTTAGAATTTTTTCTTTGTACATGTATTATATCAAGAGAGTTTTGGATGGTTGTCTTGTGTAAGTAGGTGTGTTGTATGAGATGTTGTCTCAGGTTGATTTATTCTTTCTCCACCTTGTTATATGACCTCCTCTGCTCTGTCGATTTTGGTAAAGTATGTTGGAGATCAGACTGTACTATAGAAAGAATTTGTAAACTGTTTGTATCTTTTGTACTTTTTTGTACACATCAAAGGAAAAAGGCAATTCTCTATTCCATGCAATTAAGATCAGCAGCTCAACACCAAACCTTTTATGTTTTTACTTCCTGTTCCAGTTGAGATGGTGATGCTTCTATTAGGACCTACCTGTTAAAACATGCATCCTCCAGGAGTGATTTTAGCACTCGCTGTTCGATAGACGGGAATAAATAATGTTTATGGAAATATGTTAGTGATTAGCATTGCAAGGGAAACCTCAAACAGCTATCTTTGATAATACAATTTCATCTCCAATATGAATGTATTATTTTCATAAGTTTCCATTTCAATCAAAGCATCTAAAAGAATCTCTCAAACTCAATCATTGTTGAAGATATTTCAAGCTTTATTTCTCTTTATTCCAACACTCTCCTCAACTTTGAAGTTTCTAGTATAATTTCTATCCCTTATACTTGTAACGAGTGTTAATGAAACTTAGAAGAAGACCGCAATCCATTGCCATTACCACCTCTTAGAAATACTGTTAAGGGCTTATCTCAACATTCTTGATTGACATATATTAAATCAAATAAATGCCAATTTTAACGACTTTCTATTCTAGTAAAGTTAAAGTAAAGATACTTTCTTACCTATACCTTATCTTTGGGGGAGACTTTAGCTTTCCAAGAGTTTATATTAACATAACAAATAACTCTCTCTCTCTCTCATTCACTCCTTTATAAAACATGCTTAGATTGAGCATTATGCAAACAAGATAAAGATAAAGAGCACTATGCACTCTATCTGTCTCAATTTAATCGTCACACTTCTTTTTATGATATCATTTAAAGTTAGGGTCTCACACCTCTTTTTCTGTACTATCTCCCATCACATCTACTTTGTGATTGAATTTATACATAGAGTATTTAATAAACCAACAAACAACTTATCACACAAGATTATGTGTAACTCTTAATGTGACAATTAAATTGAATGAGAGTAAAATATTGAAATGAGGGAGAAAAGGACTATTACCTTCATTTCGGGTTATGCATCACCCTAACTAATGTGATGGTGGGTAACTAATACTCCCGAACATATTCCTCAATCCTCATTCCTATACAATCATTACCTTTTACAACCACTTTTTACGTGTTCACTTTTATACATGATTATTTTTTCTACAACCATTATGTCTTCACTTTTAATAAATGTTACATTACCCTCATTCTAACCATGCTAAATCCTCTTTTGAATTGACATTTTAAAGTAATTTGGGACCTATTGGTTGTCCTTCCCCAAGATATACATTTAGGGACAAAAAATCACCTATCTTCTCTTTCACCACATTAGTAATAAGTGTCCAAAGAGAGAAATAAAGGATCAACCCATTTCCAATTTACATAGAAACATCTATCAACCAAAGTTGGGTCCACAAGTAAGACTTGAGCTCAATATGACGGACATAGCTTTTATAGTCCTTTACCAAATTTACTTCTAAAACAGTGAGTACTAGTTATCCATTGAATTCATCTTATTAGGATTTTTGTCAAAGTCATGATAGTATACTCATTTCTAACTGCTCTTACATGGCCAGTGAACAACAACAGAAGATTGTACTTAAACCGAATTTAAACTCAATTCACCTCCTTATTTTATGTTATGGTTGTCAAATAAAAAAAAAAAAAAAAATCAAACCCAATGCGTGTACGTGTTAGTGACATACTTCAATCGTACTCCCTCCGGTGACTAATGTAAACATATTTGAGAAAGGAATTTTTGGATGTTATGGAGTGAATTCGATCATTTATTTTAACAACATCGGAAATCTTAAGGGATTTTGGACTCTTTCTTAGTAGGGTTAAAAGGAGGCTGAGAGCAAATAAGTATGAATACATATGATACACACCGTTTGATGGCTAAACATAAGTTAGATGGCTAAACATGTACATTAACCACACAATTATCCAACCAATCTACCTAGTACTAAACTGATTAAACTAAATATTGCGTATCCAAAACTTATTATAAGAAGTAATCGTGTCATGTTACAAGTATACATCATGAATAATTTAATGCATACAACAAATGATTTTAGAAGTTGTGTGAGATTGTTACATTGCTGCATGATGATACAAGGAATGATTTATAAATGTACTATACTTTCCTTTGAACAGCATTCATTTTTTTTTTTCAAGTTTGATGTATCATGTATTCACGTGCATTAGCACAGATACATTCTATTTCAATTCACAAGTAAGATAACGCTCAAATAATAAACTTGATGAAGATGAGTTCAAAAAGGTCTTGATAAGTTCAAATCGTTTTAAATAGATTTGAAAGTATATTTGATAAACTCAAATTAGTTCTAATACAAGATTTACTTGGCCACTGATAATAGACGTTTCTTATAATTAAAAGGTTGGTGGTTCACATTTTATTAGTCATCTGTATCTTAAAAACAACTTTTATGCATCACAAGCGCCTGTATACATTATACTTGCATCACTTGTTGTTACTTACTTGAATTAGTTGAATATGTTGACATAGGAAGTGTTCTTATTATTGTAATTGTCAACCTTTATGCATTAGATTGACTATTATATGTAATTGTACGTCAAATACCACTCCATTTGTTTAATAGACTTTTCCACATTTCGACTATGAATTATGTTATTAATTCTTTTGATTTCTTTGTCAAATCATAATACTATTATTACCTAAGAATCAGTCATGATATGATATCCCCTCAAATTTAAAGAATTAAAAATCCCAATCATACACGATTTGCCAAGATCCCATCATATAATCCATAGCCCTTTGAAAATAGAAAAGGGTGGTTAGTTAAAAAGGTGACTAATTCCAAATCAATTTCAATATATTACCAAATCTTAATGAAAAATCAAATCATATAGAGTAAAGAGCAATAATTTCTGACCTGAAAAATGGACCATAAAAACTCAGCTGCCCCCATTTAAATCAGTGTTTTATTAGTTCACCTACCAAAAATATAAATAATAAATCAATAAATAATTTTGCATATCAACCCAAAATAATTATTTTGAATTTCAAAATTAAATACAATAGCATCTTTTTTGACATTCATCTTGATTCTTGCCCCCCTCTTCCCATCCTTCCCAACTCATCCTCATAAATACCAAACATTTAGAGGCTTTTATATCATTTCCTTTTTGCCCTACTCATTTCATTTCTTCTCCCCCTCTCTTATTGTTTTTTATGCATTTGGTTGTTGTCATATTAATTCAATGAATTCATTCTCAAAACTTTCAAAATCCTTTCTCCTCTTTTCATCTCCCCCTATATCAATCCAAAATTCTCAAACCTCTTAAACAACAACAACAAACCATTAAAAAAGAGGTTTCGCCTCAAGTAGGGTTTCTAGGGCTGTCAGATGTACTCAATCTTATCCTTAGAATTCCCGATGACACGCCCCAAAATTATAATTCTCGGACTAGTTATGCATCTTCAATGAAATAAACATTTCCCTTTTTTCCCTTATGGTTGGTTTTGTTTAAACTTGTGCATGGGATATTGGTACGATTCAATCAGAAAACCGGATTCTCGTAGTAGAGAACCTTGTGTATTTGATTGAGCCGTGCCAATATCCCGTGTAGTAATGAATATTGGTGGTGCGTAGAGCACATTAATTTTGTTGTATGCAGGATATGGGAGAGCAACACAACACTGCCTTTTTCATGTTCTCAACCACCGGTAAGTCATCTTTATTGGAGTATGTTTCTTTTGGTTTATTATTATTAATAAAATAATAAATAAATAGGTGGGCAGTAGCAGGTTATTAATGTTTATTCATCCCAAGTAAATGTGTAGTAACTTTTCAATTAAATAGGGAAGTCGGGATAGAAAATTGTACAGAATTTATTTATTGGTGCTAACATTTTTATATAGGAAAATGTTAAATGTGGGTTAAATTATAAGTAGATGTAAATATATAATGCATCGATGCATTTGATTTAGGAAATCGTATAAATATATAATGCTATACATAGCCCTTAGGGCTACATATAAGCATTAAATACATTCTAGGAAATCGTATAAATTTAGAAAATCATAAAAAAAAAACACTAATTACACTAATTTACGCATGTTTTATATTCCTTAGGGTTAAATATAGCATTATCCTTTTATTTAAGCTTGTTTATACATACTTACAGTAATATTTTTGTTTTAGGCTTCATATTTACAACCCTAAAGGCTGTATATATATATCATCACCCAAAAAAAATCAATTAGGGCTATTTATGAAAATTTTTATATACTCCTTTTTTCCAATAATATAGTGTTTATTTCCATTTTCATGTTCAAACTTTAAAAAACTTTGAAATATAATTCTCATAAATATATAAAAACATATAGTATTGTAGATTCATTGTGTAATTTTATACTTATAATATCTATTTTTTTTTTAATTCATATAAGTTTCTTTAATTTGTAACTAAAGAGATTAATAGTCAAAGGTATATTTATATATTAATTGTGCAAATGGATAGATACTATAATATGATGGAGGCTTTGTATAAAGAATTAAAAGTGAAAAATTAAGTTACTATGAAAATAATTATCTCGATAAAAGCATGATTTTTTCTTACCTTCAATCAATAGTACGGAAATAAATTAAATGATTTATGTAGCAATGAGGATTGTATACATTGTACCTTTTCAAAATGGAGTCAGTTTAGCAATGCGCAACAAAATCAAGCATTGATCGATAATATTTACGTTTGATTTAGGATTGATAATTTTTACTTTAGGCTAGTTATATACCCAAAAAAAAAGTAGGAAAATTGATTTTGGCACACTTTCGATTGGTTTTTGATAAACGGGTGTGGGCCACACCTAACACCCGCCACAAGTGCCCACTATATAAGGGTATGTTCTATTCACCTGATTTTTAGATATCTAAATATATTATAGGAGCCCTAAGTCCAAGTAGGTTTACCTCAAAACCATATGGCAATGAGGGGAGTAGCCCCTTAACCTTATAAACAAGACACAATTTCTTCTCTTCTTTAATGTGGGATACACATCCCAATATTCCTCTTCATTTTTACATTCTTTTAATATGAGACAACACTTTCACTTGCATGTGGGGGGTTGCTGATAGGCTCAAAATTTTTGGCACACTTCTATTGAGAAGAGTATTACATATAAATATTGGTGTGCCAAAATCATTTCCATAAACCATAGCCATGTGATAAATTGTTAAATTTGTCTTAATGTGTAGCTACCATCTTATTGATTATCAAACCATCTAAAAATGCTTTAAAATAAGCACTTAATATGGGATAGGGACTTAGGGAGTACTTTGTATAACATATGGATAGGAAGATGTCAGAGTAATAACAGCTTGTAAATAACTTGTAATTTGTGTGTAAAAAAAAACTTGTAATTTGAATTGGATGGAATATAAAAAGATTTAAAACAAATTTATAAGTTGTAATGTTAGAATTCAAATTAATTAGTGATATTGTAGCATTGTTATAAAATGAATGGTAAAACTTAACTTTTTCTATTTTATAATTGTTGCAATGTTTTTAATTTAGGAAAAGACTTTCTCCGTTCCTTTTTACTTCATTCATGACTATATTCTTTCTTACTTATAAATTACAAAAGATAGTCAAAATTAAAGTGAGTGCATAAATAGTGCAAAAGTCAAACTATGTCTAGTAAAAAAAATAAAATTATATATTAAAAGTAATTTAAAAGGATTGTATAGCATAGTAAGCACCATGATTCACATGTTATTCTGACTAAAAAAGAGGATATTATGCTTTGTGTACCTTTCTGACTAAAAAAAAATCATAGAATCAAGAAGAATTAGGGGGAAGTTTGGTCACAAACTTTTACCAGCTTGATCTTCATATATGTTATAATTCAATGGTGTGAAAAACAGTATAAGATTAATTAAGAGAGACTCAAACTTTAAAGGAGGTGGTTGTACTGAGTCAATTTGCAAGTTTTAAGGTTACTTAATAAGGGGACTATTGGAGGAGATCCAAGTTTATGTTTGTGACAAACAAAATTGCACGACGTCAAAATGGTTTATCTCATTGATAAACTTGTATTTCTTTGGGATTAATGAGGCTGGAAATGGGTTAATTACAGATTTATTTACTTGTGTTTTAAAAATGATCGATAAAATAAAGTAATTAATCCGATCAAATTATATATATATATATTTTTTTATTTATATTTTTATTTACTCATTTATTTTTTAAAAAATTGTAATAAAATTTCATCATATTTAAAAAATACTATATTAATAGGAGAGAAGACGGGTAGAAAGTTTGTGAAAATGGGTATACAATGATGTTAAATTTGACATTAGATCATAATGAATTAGTTATTAAAATTATAGTGTAACTACAAGAAATATTAAAGCATTATATCATCAAAAGATCACTCTTCGATTATACATTAATTGTATTAATTAAATAATTAATTAGATGCGCATAATTTGTTCTACGCCATTTTTTTTTTTTTTTTTTACAGCAATTTTAGAAATGAAGGGATGTGCATTACTAATGCTACTATTATAAATAATATTTGATTTATACCTAACCATTACACACTGTTTAGATAGAGTTATGTATATCATTTTTGTAATGAGTGTTTTTTTAAAAGTAATGCACTGTATTTTGTCTTTCAAAAAATATTACTCTACAATTCTTATTCAAATCTATGTTATTTTGCATATACTAAGAAATTGGATGCATGTTATATATTTAATGTCTTTGGTATATCGAAGTGACATATAATATTGTACTAATACTATTCAATAAAAATACAAAGTATATTATAACATTGCTTTATTATGAGTGAGGTTTATTGCTATATTGGTATTGTAGACTAACATATATGTACTCCATCTCATAATTATGTAGTGTCTATTTCATTTTACGCAATCTTCAAAATGTATCATTGAGACTAAACTTAAGACGAAACCAAATTAGTCAACATTTAATTTTTAAAAGTTTGACCACTAATATGTAGGTGGACATTATATTATGGAATGACTGAAGTAATAACTTACCGATATGCCTGTCAAAAAAAAAAAAAAAATAGAAAAAAAAACGTATCGATATGACTTGTGTTTTGGATATAATTACATTTAATCTACCGTAAAAAAATACATTTTAAGTTGTTAATCCATAATTTGTTGCTATTCATTTTCATTTACTAACTTGTTGTCCTGACAAATAAACTAATACACATTCTTTCGCCGCATATTGTGGTTTTTTTTAGCATGTCAAACTTTTTGTTAAAACCGTGATATAAGTGACATTAGCGAGATAATGTGACAGCTGAAAATACTTCAAATACTTCCGGCGCCGAATTGTAAATGGAAGTAGGTGAAGGTTCCTGTGGAAACTTTGACCCTGAATTTGAAGTGTTAGACTTGGATCCGGAAGAAGTATGTAGGTGTTTTTATTAGTAATTGATTTTTTTTATGGTTGTTGTAGTTATTATAGAAGAAATTTAGATTGGTTTAGTATAAAAATTGTGTTTATTGTTGGATTTGATTTGAGTTAGTAAAGATTTGATTATTTAAGTATAATTGGATATGTGTTTCTGGACTTAAGATTTGACTACGATATAAGTTTTTGATTGCTTTACTTATTTCAGTTAAGCATTCGTTTAAGGTAAATGTAATTATATGCTTTTGTTGTCATGAGTTTTGTTAGATATGAGGAAGTAGGAGAAGTAAATAAATGTCAGTAAGTATATGCTCCTAAATGAATATTAGTTTGTGAGTATTGAATTTTCTGGTTAGATTTTGATAATGTTAGTTTTAAGTGAAGGTTTTTTTGGTTAGATTTGTTAACTAATTAGTTTGCTTATGGCAAGGGATTAATTTTGTATATGAATGTATTGAATTTTGTATTGCGAACAAACTTGTTAAGTAAGTAATTAATTTGGCCTGACCAGAGGCATAATTTGATCTTAATGTGATTGTTATAACTATGTCAGGTTGGTATCATGGACACCCCAGTAAATGACGTGTTAGGGTCGTCTGTGTTTGTGGATGGTCCAAATGAAAATGAAGCATAATTTGATTAGTTACTTGGGAGGATGCCGATAAATTCTTCAGGAAATATGGCAGACAAAGGGGATTTGGAGTATTCCGGGCAGCTCGGAATTACAAGATAGAGAATGGTAAAACAGACAAGAGTAAGAAGAGGAGCTACATTTGGCGGTGTGAATGTGCTGGTAAGCCAGACTTACGAAGAAGAGTAAATGGGAAAAGGGTGTATGGTGGTGGTTTAGCATTGGATCTAAATAGGAGGAAGACTAAGAAGTGTGGCCGTCCTGTGGAAATGAGGGCTGCTTGTAAACCTCATGGTTCTTGGGAAGTGCGGAAGGCAATCATAGAACATCAGTATCACAATCCAACTCCCCGAAAGTCTCGATATATTTCTATGTACCGGCAGGATGAAATTACAACTGCGGTTAGGAGGAATTTGTTCAATGATTGTAGTGCTGGTACTAAGGTTACACAAGTGCATCGTAGTTTAGCAAAGGAGCGTGGTGGGGTAGAGAATATGGCCCTTACGGAGAGGGACTTGAGGAATGTACTGGCTCGGGAGAAGAAGTTGAAGATGAACGGTGGTGATGCTAATGCCATGCTTGCCTATTTTAACAAAATGAGTTCTGATAATCAGAATTTTTTTCCACAAGTACAGATTAGATGAACAGGGTCGGTTAACGGATGTGATGTGGGTGGATGCACGTAGTAGGGTAGCGTATGAAGAGTTTTGGGATGTTGTGTGTTTTGACTCGACATATGTTACCAATGAATATGAGCTACCGTTTGCCAACTTCGTGGGTGTAAATCACCACGGACAGACCATTCTTTTGGGATGTGCTCTAGTATCCCATGAGAACACAGAAACTTTTGTGTGGTTGTTTACCAATTGGCTAGATTGCATGGGTGGAAAAGCACTTGGTGGTTTCTTGACAGATTAATGTGCTGCAATGAGGAAAGCTCTGAGTATTGTCATGCCCAATTCCAAGCATAGGTGGTGTTTGTGGCATATTGTGATTAAGTTTGGTAACAAGCTCGGAAGCTATGCGAAGTACCAGGAATTTCATGATGTCTTACTGAATGTTATATATGACAGTTTAAGCGCAGATGAATTTGAGCTTAATTGGACTTTAGCAATTGAGTCTTATGGTCTTGGATCGGATGAGTGGCTTTCAGGTGATGTTAATTTTCCAAGTCTTTTACTTGTGATTTGTTAATTTTGATGGTTATTATTTTGGTGTTTTAGTAGTAAAGCACTTATTATCAAACTATCAAACCAGAAAAATTACTCACTTGTTTAGAAGAGCAGGGCATGTTTAGATATGCAAACTAATGTTCAAGGACAGTTGTTTTTGAGAATGGTTGTAGTAGAATGATAAAGCAGGTAGTATAACTTTTGGCATTTATTAACAATAATGTTTGAAAAATATGGAACTTGTGTTGAAATAAATCAAGTAACCTATGAATATGCAAAAGTGATGGATGCTATATTGAGGCTGACATCCTAACGAACTAAGTTTGTGATATTGTAAGTAACTAAGGTGGAGAGCCTAATTTGCTGCAATTAATGTGATCTTCACAAATCTGCAACTTGCTGCAATGACATCCTATGTCTTTGATTATAATTTTGTTCATGCATGTTTGTTTATAACCTTGATAGAGTCAATACTGTTCTGCATATGTCCATTTATATTTGGTTTGTTTTTACTCTTGATTGAGTGATATGGTCTGGTGTGTTCCCCTGACAGTTGGCTATGTGGTTTGCATAAAGATCATTATTGGTTATTTATTTATTTTTAGGACTTGTTCACTTCTCCTGATGATTTAATTTATTTTTATATATTTAGATCTTTGTCAATGTTTTATGATTAGACAGTAATGGTGAACTTGTGTCTTGATCTTTTGAACTCATTGAGGTGTAAAGATTTAATCTATTTTTGTCATAGGTCTGTTCAAGGAGAGGCATATGTGGATCCCAGCCTACATGAAACACCTATTTTGGGCAGGGATGAAAACCACGCAGCGTTCAGAGAGCAGCAACAACTTCTTTGACAAGTACGTGAAGAGGGACACTCGTTTGTACCAGCTTGTGGAGAGGTACTGTGATGCCATGGAAAACAGGGTCAATGCGGAGAAAGAAGCTGATGCCAACAGCGCCATGTGATTGAGGCATGTAATCACTGGTTTTTCATATGAGAAAGCCTTCCAGAAGGTGTACACTGATGCAAAATTCGTAGAGGTACAGGAGCAATGCACCAGGTTTATGTACTTGAGCGTTGTTGGGAAAAGGGAGGTATCTAAAAATGCTGTGGAACATTTGGTTCAAGATAGGGTCTAATTTTACGATAAACAACTGAAAAAGGAAATTCCTGTGGATAGGAAGAGAGTCTACACTGTAATGTTCAACTCTGAAACAAATGACGCATTATGTGAATGCAAGCTGAGTGTCATGGAATCATGTGTAGGCATCAATTTAAGGTGTTTGATGATAATGGGGTAAAACAAGTCCCTTCAAAATATATATTGAGGCTGTGGCGTAAAGATGTCCATAGGTGTCACACTCGGGTGAAGGAGGCATACCATGATCCTTCCAAAACAGAAGAAGTTAAGAGGTATGATAGAATAATAGTCCAGTTTGAGAGTGTGTGTCTTAAGGCAGCAAGTCGTCCAGAGTATGCTAAAATGGCGTTAGATGCAATATGCAAGCTGGAAAATACCTTGGATGCTGCCATCCAAAAGGAAAGTGTTAATGCTGCCATCCAAAAGGAAAGTGTTAATGGTGCTGATAGTGATTCTGCCACTATGGAATCGTCCCCTTCAGTGAATAATGATGTGGAAGGGGTGGGTACCATGCCTCCATCTGAATTAGGGGATTCGTGTCTGAACAGTTCTGCATTGGGGCTTGACGATATATCAGTTGACCCATTAGTTAACACTCCAACTCAAGCTGTACTTGTTGCAAACGAGGTTTGTCATAATTCGGGAAGTTCTGTGGATGAGAACCTGGCTTGTGATGTATTAGTGCAGAAGGCCTTGTCTGTTGGCGATCCAATCTCTCGGAAAAAACCACATAGACCGAGGGCTAAGTGTTTCCTTTCGTTTGCAGAGAAATGTGCCAAGAAAGCATTGTCCACACGAACTAAGACAGACAATGTGGTAAACCTAAAGTTTGTTGTTTTTCTTTGGATATTTTGTAGTTCATGCTACATTACTTGTAATTCATTGATGGTGTTGTTGTGAGTGTAGGGCAACTGTGTTTTGACTGAGGTTGAACCTGAATCTAACAACCCTCCTAAGCAAAAAAGAAAAAGATGAAGGAAGTCCAAAGAGCAGGAACTTCCCGCAACTGTTATGCCAGTATGTCATTAACTAATTAAAATGCAGGATTGTAAAAGTATGCTGTTTTAAATCAATGGTATTCTGAAGTTCAAAGCTTGTTTTAATTCATACACAGGGGCATATTTAGGAGGAAGTTCAAAGCTTGTTTTGATCCAACCAAGACAATACTATTCCTGGTTTTATCCGTGTGATCAGATGAAGAAGATGAAGACATACTTTTTTCCTCTTTTGATAAAATCAGTAGGAATTGTATGTATGGAGTTGTATTTATATAAGATAGAGTGTGAACTTTGAAAGTCCTAAACCCTTTAACATTGATCTTTTTCTTTCTAGTAGGAAAAACATTAATAATTTGCCTATCTTTTCTAATAACTGTTACATACACCAATTTTTATTTAGAGCATTTATTTTATGTACTACAAAGTTAAAAGTGGTTGAGTTTATATTAAGGTGAAATAAAAACTTTCATATATTTATTTGTGTTAATGAATAAGTCCTCGATGATTGTTATTTTACGTAATTTTTAAATATATTAATATTTAAAAATTAACTCAGAAAATATATAATATTAATACCATAGTCTTGTTTAATTCGTAGTACAATCAAGAGTAATTTATATAAGGGTAAGTTACTCATGTTAAATATTAGTTTTAAACATACTAAAACTACTATTGCATTTTCATTGCAATTACATATTTATTTAACATTATCATGGCTGGCACTCTTCTCCATGGTTATTGTTCCGAAAGAATTTTCCTTCATCTTCTTAGCATTTTAATGAACTCTGTTTACAGCCAGACCAGCTGCCATGTCCACCATCAACCTTCGTCGGATAAAATAGGGTGCATATTCCTTCCTGATCTATATACAAAATGATATGATCATCAGTGACTACACATTTACAAAATGATATCATAAATGATAAGACATTTTAAAATTTACCTGAGGGAAAGGTGGTTGCTCTTCCATTAATACCCGTTCCTCGAAAAAGTTGTTCACTTACTTTATCACACTTTACGACTAGGCCTGGTTATTGGGTAGGGCTACCCAATGGCAAAAGGGTTGGGTCTAATACTAAAGGGTTTTGACTCTTTAATTTTTTAGTGGATAGGATTTTTATAGGGTCTTTTTTTATAGGGTTTCAATTAGAGCCCAATAATTTAAGAATTAAAATAAAAAGTCCAATAATAATGGTTAAGGGTCAGCTCCACTCACCCCTTCGCTTACTTAACCCCAATAATAATTTCCAAAAACCTTTCTCTCTCCTCCATTGAAGCGCACTCAGAGTTCTCCATTGAAGCCGCTTCTCAAGTATCATCATTTTCTCTCTCTTAATCTGTTCTTCAATTTTGATTCATGTTTTCGTTTTGTTAATGTTATTGATATGTTGTTCCTTATTTGTCTCGAATTATTGATTATTATTCCTGTTGTAGTTATATAATTCTACTGTAATGAGAGCCATCAAAATAAAAAATAAAAAAAAATTAGTAAAGATTTGCTTGGCAGTGTGTAGATTTCCACTAAAAACATTTGAGGTTAGTTAATTTCGATTATTTTGCTATAAAAATTCGACATAATTGTTCAATTTTTTTTAACGTTTTTGGGTAAAATTTGTTCTTTGAATTGATATAATCATATAATCAACTATGGGAGTCGATTGATAAAACATGTCAATTTTAGTTTCGCTTTGAATGTGTTGATTAACCACATTTTTTTCAAAGTCAAGACTGAAATTATACTCCTGAAGTCGTGGATCATATTCTGCACAAAGCCATAAACTGACTGAAGACTTTAAGACAACATTAACTTTGACTTTAAGCAACAAAAGTACATGATGCACAATGGTTTTTCCTTACTCCTGAAGTAGATTCAGAAAATTAGATGCTTTATCGTATTTCAATAAAAAAAAATAAAATAAATATTAAATTTGGGTAAAGACCCGTTAACGACCCATTTCACTTTTACCTCAACCTTAACCCGCATTGACCCTAACCCGCTAAATATTTATCATGACCCGCAACCGACCCGCCCAATAACCACCCCTATTTACGACAATGCAGGAGGCCATATTATCGCTAGTATCAAGTGAACAACTTCATATCGTATCTGTTCAACTTGACCACATATGCGGGTTAAATAACTCCATAAACATCATTTAAATTTCATAACCCTTATTTTAATCATTAATTTATTCAACAAATCGAAATTGTATCGTTAATTCAAGGGGTAGGTTTATAATTTTTTTTTGTTAATGCATCATGAATGCCCTTTTTTATAGTGGTATATAGACATTTAAAAACACTTTATTTTCCTTCAATAACAGCATACACCCCATATGTGAATTTTTTGATTGTAATGTGTCCTAGGTGGTTGTCCTTTTTTGGATGTATTATTGGCTTTGTTTTAATGGATTATAATCCACTAATAACTGAATTTAATTTCAATTAAACTGTATCTATAACATTATAACGGTATAATAAATTATAACAAGAATTCATGTTTGCTTTTCAGAATTCTTATTAGATGTACTACAGGATATGTTTTAACGGATTATAATCAACTCATGAACGAATGTAAAATATATTTAACAGTATTCAGTACATTATAACGGTATAAAATTTAATTGCATGGTGTTCGCTTTTTACGTACAAAGGAATCCATGTCTGCTTTTCAGAGTTCTTATAAGATCTACTAATAAGTTTAAACGGATTATAATCTAATAATGATGGAATGCAAATTATATTTAGCGTGGGTATACGGGAGGCACATTCGTGTTGTGGGACCATCGGAAGAGCGAATCAAAAGACATTCAAATTACCACAACTGCATATCCTGTTTGTGTGACAGGGTCTATATTGGTAATGATTTACAATTATGCCAATAATTAGTGTTTTTATTGGAATAATACCAATACTGACATTTTTACTACGTTTAATTGCAGCCACTTGATCTTGAGGAAGAAGACGAGCCGTGGACTTCTCTTGATGATATCGAGTAACGCGGACACAAAACAGCTACATGACGGCAATTGTGACTTAATAACCTTTCGTAATTTTGTTTGTGTTTAAAATATTTACAATGTGGGCCCGTGATGAAGTATGAAACATTTATTTTATGTTATCGTACTTTTATTTATCTTATTGTCTGTATGTTATTTGATGTAGGAAACAAGAGTTGGGGTACTGTTATTTGATGTTTAAGTAATGTTTAGATGTTATTTTTTGTTTATATACTGTTTTTTAATGTTATAATGGTGTTATAAATTGCTCCTAAACTGTTTTTATATGCTACATTACTGTACGTATCCACCAATTACTATGGATTTATAATTTATCTTATTGTGTGTATGTATAAAACCTGGAAACTGTGAATTTATTTCTACATACTGTTATTATTTTATATATACAATTATATCTTACTTTAAACTGTTCGTTATATGTAGAAATTATGATTTATGTCAATCAAGTAGGAAGTTATCAGCGGGTTTTGTTCTTTGTTAATTATGGGATTTTTAAGTGGAAACTTTGTAACTCCCTTTAAATAACAAAATAGTCGTTGGTTAATTTCATACCCCAACACTCTTGCTTCTAGAAAACATCATGGCCCCATCATCTTCTTCTTTGCTTACGTTCTTCGCAATGATACAGCCATTCAACCCCACCTTTTACAACGTCCTAGACCCACCATTTCGTCGCCGTAGGGACCAAGAACCACAAGCTGAGGTGGATACCTTGCAAGAATGGGTCACCAATGGTGAGCCCCCTATACGCAAGTTTTGGGCATACGTGACTCTCAAACGCCGCAACCGTTGTTTGATGTTCTCTCATCAACTAGCAACACTCAGCCTCAGCTATTTCTAGGTTGAAAAACTGTACGTACCACATGAATACGGTTAGCCTGGTATACACCCGTGTAGCCCTTTGCAAACTTCTTTTCCAATACGCGTATCTGCACAAAGCAAATCTTTACATGTAAGGCTATCCTCCCACTGATTATTCAAAATAGGGGTGCTTCTTCGGGCAGACCCTATGGGACTAGGGCTAGTAACAAGAATGCAACCTTAAACTCAAGAACATCCTCAAGTGGAGCTACAACTCATCCACTAAATTTTTCCTCAGTATCCCTTTCACATTGCTAGGGGTAATTGTACTGAATTGAGTTTGCACACCACGTTGTAAACAGTACACTAACCCTCGCAACAATGTCGAACTACCGGGAGCCTTTGACCAGGAACCATTGTCTACCAATTTCCACGATTTTTAGGGCCTTTTTTGCTATGTATTCGCTAGGTTTTCCTACGAGTTTTCCGGTGAGAAATTTTAAGAGAGAAAAATAGATCTTTTTGACAGCGCTGTAACTTCTAAAGAGAGGAAAGAGAATTTTTTAGCCCAGTAACAACTACTAAGTTACCGTGATTTCTAACCGACGAAATGACTGTTTTGCCCCTGGTATTGGACACAAGTGTCCCTACCGGGTAGCGGTCCATTACACCCCTGACCCTGTATGTATTTGATGCTAAATGAAAGGAAATGGTAAAAATGACATTTGATTTGATTCCTAATTTTGTTTATCACATCCATCCCAAGATTTAAACTAAACTATTTATCATTCAAATTAGTTATTCATTTATTCGTTAATAATATTGCATCATATTGTTTGCTAATTTCCATTCTAATACCTACTTCGTATTACTTACGCCGTCAGCCCGTCAAGCATAACAAGCACTTTAGTAGCAGATTTAGGCCCTGTTCTTTTGAGCTGTTCTGCTCTGCTCTACTTTGCAGTGTTGGAAGCTATGTTATGCTCTACTCTGCTATGCTTTGCTCTGCTAACCCGAGCTTTACTATGCCCAGAAGCTCAAAAGAATAGAGCCTTAATCATTGTTATTTCAATAGTTAAGCAAGACCAGTCCACTAGTAGTTTGACTTGCCACGTCAACTCATCCAACATTTTTTTTAGATACATCATATGAAGTACTTAGTACTCGAAAATTTTGTATATCAACCGTCCAAAGTTCTCTAATAAAAAAGTACAACACTTGTATCTTGAATGACTTCACCTCCACAACATTCAACATAACAATTCATCTTTAAATTTTTTAATCCTTCGTTGATTATTATGTGTAATTTTGGGGTATTATTTGTGAGATATAAAAATTTTCAAAGTTGCACATAATAATTAACGGGGGTAGTATTAAATTCTAGTAAGATTGCTTGTTTTGATTTTAGTTACATACTCCAATGATCAAAAAAGTTGTTCAATAATGTAATTAGAGACCTCCAAAGTCCAAGCCATATATAACAAGTATGCGCAATTTAGTTATATTGTCATTTGCTAGTAAATTGGCCTTGTTTGGCAAATGGTTGTTGGCTGTTGGCTGGTTCACTTGGCTTGTTTGACCAGCTGAAATGTTTGGCTGTTTATAATGGCTTTTGAAATTGGCTGTTTAAGCTGGTTATTTATAAAAGTGTTTGGTAAATTTAGTTGGTGGTTGCTAGCTATTTATTGGATAATTTGTGGGCCAATAGCCAACAAAAAAAGCTACTCATAGCAACTTTTTCATTTTGGCTTAAAAGCCAATTACCAAACACTTTTTTTAGCTGTTTGACCACATAAAAAAGCCAAAAGCTAACCAAAAAACCATTTACTAAACATGACCAATGACTAGTTATCTCAAATGTATGTCGTTGTTGAAATCCTTAATCATATGGATATCAGGTATAAATGATTTAAAAATTCATAACATACTAATAATGGAAGTCACATAATTCTTGAATGTTGTCAATATGACAATATGTCATGTCTTATTGTCTTTGGTACACTCAACTAGATTCAAATAACACACTTTCAAATTCATCTTTAAAATTGATTGAGCACCTCAGTTCAAGGTTTGTGGAAGGTCAGGAAAATAATGTTCATGAAAGGTAATCCTAAAATTTGATTATGCACAATTTGAAATCAATCATTGATCGAATCACAAAACTGAGCATTTGAGTACAATTTATTGAAGATAAAATCTCAAATACCAAACCAAATATGACCCGATTTCATGTCAAATCGTGATAGGCCTAATATACGAGGGAGCCTTAGTATCTCAAATAAAGATATATTTTTTGTATCTCAAAATGGCACTATTGTAAATATAAAAAAAAGTATGAATTTTTTAATATTTTTTTTTGTACTTTTTTTTTTGTCCTTTTTTTCTTCTTAGTGTTCATCATCTCCATCCTCTATCTTCTTCATGCTTTCCCTCCATTCTCCATCTTCTTCATACTTTCCTCCATCTCCATCCTCCATCTTCTTCATGCTTTCACCACCATATTTCCGGCTTCGTCACCGAATCAAACTAAAACCCTAATAGAAAAGAGAGAAAAGAAGGATATGCTTAACCCTTAAGGGAAAGGTTGTGTCTTTCTCCATTGAAGACCTTCGCCATATTCGATTTACCCATTGAAGTTTGTTAAAATCTCCATTAAAGTTTTTCATTTCTCCATTGAAAACTTCTAATTTTGTTTGAAAATAGAGGTTTTTTAGTCAAAATTACAACATTAACCCTACTATTAACTTGCAAAAAGACCATAATGTCCCGTTGAGATGGTTCAATGTATCTCAAGTTGAGATACATGAATTTTCTCCTAATATACCTTGGCCATATTCCAGACTTTCAGTTATGAATTTACAATGCATTGTCCTTTTTAGTTTGTCTTATGTATTGTTTAATCTTTGGCATAAATTAAACATATACGGAGTACATAGACACAAACACAAACACCTAGATATACGTTCTAACTTGTCGATTTGCAAGATTTAATTTTTTTAATAACGTGCCATGTTTTTTCATATCATGCTGGCTTAAACAGAGAAACAAATGTATTAACTATTACTAAAACAGAGTATGCTGACATCACCAACTACATGTCGCTCTCTTAATAAAAAAATTCCCGCCTAAATGCAAAGATGATATCATTTTTTTTTTGGGGGGAGCTATTATATTTAACATTTTTAAAATTAAATATTGAAAGCTTCCACATTACAACTAAAACTATCAATTTATCTTAGGAAATTAAAGTAATTTTAAATGGCATACTAATAAATAACCTCCTACATTGAAATATGTATTAGTTGACGTTGTCGTACTATATTATAATTTTGATGAAAATCTAAAATTTTAAAATTACCACGGGCTCAAACCTAGTACATATACATTTTTTAAAAAAAAATTTAAAATTTAATATCATGTTTTTTCATGTCGTGTTGGCTCAACCTTTTACCATTTTTACAGAGCAAATTAATCCTAACAAATTTTAAAAACAAAAATTTATAAAAGTAAAAACATTTATAATTAGCTAAATACTCCGTGCAAACTATAAATTTTCCTTAAAAAAAAAAAGATAATATCAATTGACACGTAATCATGTATCAGTTATACATAACAGAAGGCAAAACAAAAGATTTAAAATCGAAATGTTTACCAAACACTAAAGGAAGAGAATTAAGAATACCTTGATTACTACGACAATCCAACAAACTATCCTTTTGATCACCCCGCAATTCCGTAGCCTTCTTTCTATCCTTTCCCTAAAATATTAAATTATTATCTCCATATAAATAAATAAATACATAAATAAAATATCAAAACACTATATAAATATCCATAAAACCCTTTTTTCTCTTTTGTTTTTTCTTCTTGATTACTTTTTGGATTGCGACGTACCACATTGAGTTCTTGGTTAAAGAGTTTTTTCAATCCAAAAATCTACCCTTTTCTTGTTCTGGGTAATTTTAATTTGCCAATTTATAATTTTCTATGGAGTTTTATTTCTATTGTTGATTTTCCTTAATATTGTTTAATTTTTTTTGGTTGATATTTGCAGGTATCAGTTCTACCTTTTTGAGTGCGAGATGGCTAAAAGTTCATTCAAATTCGAGCACCCTCTTGGTTTGTTACAATTTCTTGATTTGGGATTTTTTTTTTTTTGCCCCCTTAAAATTTTGGTTTTGTTCCGTGTTATTTGGATGTTTGATGATCAAATTTTGTGGAATATCTATCTGGGTTTGTTTCTAAATATGAATCTTCGAAGCGCTTTTGGCTTTTCTTGGTGTAATTTGAATATTTGGTGATCAAATTATGTGAATTATGCATCTGGGTAGTTTTTATAAGACTATATATGAATGTCGGAACAATTATGCTTGATTATGTTGATTATTGCAGTAATTTGTATCTTATAATTTGTAATTTGATAAAGGTTTTGCTTGCAAAGTTTAAAGTCTTGTGTTTTTCTAATAATGAAATATAGTTAAGGATGTTGATTTGATTGA